AATAAATTAAATAATTAAATAATAAATAATTAAATTAATTAAATTAAATTATTAAAAATGTTAAATATAATAAAAGTAATTAATTATCAATAAAATAAGTATATTATAAAATATTTGAATTATAATAATAGTATATCTAGTAAATCAGACTAAAGTATTTAGCACCAAATAATCTGCAAAAAAATTTCTAAATTAGAATTTAGGACATTTAGGACACTTTAGGACTTATATAATAATTCAAAGTCTGAAATATTTAGGACTTTGAAAAGTACTTTAGCTTGAATTATTAAGTATACCTATTGTATATTTGTATTTTTGTTTTTTAAATGATAATAAAAAAAATCCTAAAAACAAAATACAAACTCAAGTTAAAGTATTATGAAGATTCTTTTTAAGTCTTTGATATAAATGATTAAACCAGTTTTTGTTTTAGTAGATAAAGATATAGAAAAAATATCTGTAATGAATAAAGTATAATTCTGAACTATGAATATTCAAATCTGCTATTAATATCTAGTATATATTATTAATTGAAAATAAAAAAAATATTTATACAATAACTAAAATCTTGAAAGTAAGCTGTATATTTATTTTTATTAATTTATCTTGAATTTTAATAGATAATGTGAATATATTATATTCAAATGAATCTATAGAACTTTTTTTAAATATGATTAAAAAACATGCAAATATACACTTATTTATTCCAATATCAAAGAATACTTTTTTAAATTCAAGAGACATATATTATTATTGTATTCAAGAAGTATATTAATTTTGTCATTCAAGAAATCTCATAAAATTGTAAGATTATTTATAAATTAACTAATATAATATCAAAGACTGGAATTTATTTGTCTGATCTTCTTATTTAGTAGTAATATTTTTAGCTTGTATAATTATGATTACAAAAAGTTATTGACATGTCCTTAAGTATAATTATAAATACAATTATAATAGATCACAAGTAAATTGTTTAATTTAAATCTTAACAATCAGTTTGTTTCAAATTTTGAATTTAAATTAGTACAATATAATAAAAATTATGAATTTTCAGTCTGGTGATAGAATTTTAAAAAGGATTGGAATATGGTGATACTAATAGATATTGAATCTTAAATAGAAGATAGATATCATATTGATGTAAATGATTGGATATGTTCATGTCCAGCATATCTAAATAGTCAATATCTCTTATATAAGCACCTTCTGATCAAAAAGAATAACAAACAGTTTCTATCTATCTTTTCTGAGACAACACATCAGCATAATTATCCATTTCTTACTTTTGGCAAGAGTAAATTATCAGTTATTATTCTGATAGAATTTTGTAAAAACTTTTGAGAGTTTGATGAAACCAATAATTAAGACAGTAGATGAGTGTCAAGAAGCTCTGCAAGCTCGTAGTCAGCAGGGTACTTGGGATTTAAAGGGTGGAAGCTTGCATTTTGTGGTTGCATTCATTTTGTACTTGATATTATTTTTTTTAGTTACTTTTGATAATAAATAAATATTTATCTTTACAAAAACGGTGTGATAAGTCGAGGTTCGGATGTTCGGGTGGTTCGAATTCACGTGATCCGAACATTTTTTTTGCCGTGGCTAGGGTACTATATAAATATCGATATAATACAATCTAATTCAGTCATGTGATATGTAATTTATTTGTCATTGTCTTGTCATTTATAAAAACAAATTTTATGGCTTGTCATTTTGCCAACTTTTAAACATAATCTCATTTATTGTCATTTTCATAAAAATTTTTATGACTGTCATTTGCCAACACTGAACGAAGTGTGATTTGATTTTTAGAAGTATTGGGGATTTTCCTTTATAGAGTATGTGATATTAATATCCATAATATTATCAATTAAATTACCTGTAATATTATATGTAATATCGATATTGTCAATTAAAAGTATAAACCAGTTTGGGGGCTGGCGAAAAAATCAATACTAATAAGCCACGGGAAAAGATTCAAGTTGCGAATCATATACAACCCACTCTATCGAGAGTTGATCAATAATTCACTGTGTATATCGAGAGTATTTATTATAGACTGTTTTAAACTCAAGTTCACTATATCAAAATTTAATTCGATCGAAAGTTCACGAGTGACTTGTACCGCAGTCACTTTTACTATGTCCAAGAACCAGAAGTTACTGGACTGGACCATATTAAACTTATAAAATTACTAAGCCCAATTGACAACACTGCTTGTACCACTATAGCAGATCCAAAAATCATCAATGATTAATAATGTTCTCCAAAAATCATCAATCATTATTAATAATGTTCTCCAAAAATAATTCATTTGACAGGTGTTTCCATAAAAGTAGATATACAATGAGTTGTTAAAAATACACAGCAATTAGATATACGTACAGTATTTCTAAATTTGTTTCTGGCTAAGTCTTCTATTTTATTTAAATTCACCTCCAAAAGTTTCGGTTAGCACCATCTCAAACAGTCAAAAGAAAAAGCGTAAACCTAAAGAACAAAACTGTTAATATTTAAGACTTATAATAATTAAGATAGCATCGATATGAAAAGTTTAATCCCTTATTTTCTGATAGTTGTCGGGTTTTTTTCAACGCTAGCAATAGCTTCGTTAGTCCAGCGAATACCTGTGAATACAATTAAGGGTTCAGAATTTAGCCCCGAATTCAATAGCTCCCGATCAGTAGTTGCGTTTTTTGAAGGCCATCAAAATAACGTTCGTGGATCTATTACCTTCTCTGGATTATCGAAAGTGGACAATACTCGAGTGAACGTATTAATCGAATCCGGACTAACTAATAAATATATGTCTTATGCTTATCACATTCATGAGAGACCTGTTCCGCCAGATGGAAATTGTGATGGTACTCTTGGTCATTTGTCACCCAACGGTTTGTATCATTGAGTTAGATATTCTATTTTCCCTTTTTGGCGTTATTCGAAGTTGCTACTTTTTTTAATACTATTATGAATAGGAGTACCTGATAGCTTTCAATGTAATCCTGCCAATCCAGCTGCTTGCCAAGAAGGCGATTTGAGTGGTATGTCTTCAGACTTGATTAAGAAGTTGATTAAACTCAAATATACAACTACTTTTCTTGACATCTTACAATAGGCAAACACGGAAAAGCTCCAGGGGTTCTAAGCGGCAAATTCAGCCAAGAATATTACGACGAATTTTTAAAATGGGAAGAAAGTAATTCAACTATTTTCGGTCGATCGGTGGTTTTTCATTTTCCTAATAGTAAGTAGCTTTTATCCCAATACTTCTTTTTTATTTACGAAAGCATTCAATCTGAACTGATTTTTTTTGGCTAAATTAATGAATAGATACAAGAATGGCATGTGCAAACATTCTTAAAAATCTCTAATTTATTGCATTGGAACATTGAAGCAATATCAATATAAATTACTAGCGTTAACATTAATCACGTATTTCATGCTCCGAGATCTTCAAAACGAATACCGTATCGTATTAATTTCGAGAATTGAACAAGAAAATTTTTACCATGTGTTTTGTCATATATACTTATTGTTTTACGAAATCTACTTTCAAAACAAAGAAGTGTTAGCAAATTTTAAATTTTCAAATTGTCGAAAGTCAACGATATCATAACAATAAAAATGTGTTTTTTTCAATTAAATTACTGAAACAAATATTCGTTAGGACATAGCGAAAGTAATACATGTACTATACAAAGGTGAAGTAAGTTTTGCCTCATTTGTGATTATCTCATTTAGGGGGTGGATAACTATCTCGTTGTTGCATTCTTACGAGAGGACAATTTCTCTTTCCAAATATCATACCGGTTTTACTATTTTCCCCCAAGTTCTGATTGGACGCAGGTAAATCCTATCGCTAATTGGATAAAATTAATCACGTCATATTGTATTGTAATGTAATGCACCCCGTTTTTGTGTGCCAAGTTGGTGGCGCAAACCAATAAGAATGAGCAAATTTTTTATCAACCCGGCAAAACAAATCCGACACAAAAAGTGAATAATGTAAAAATACGGAAAACAGATATCAAAATCTGGCTTAAATCATTAATAAAAAAATGTTGGAAAGACAATTTTACATATAATTTTGTCCTTCACTTTAACCCATACCCTAACCCGAACGATAAAATATCCTTTAAAGTTAATTTTTCGTGATCACGTGATCGAGGAATTTTCCTACCACGACTAGTCTACTAAGGATACTGAGGATGTGCAAATTTTGATCAGTCCGACAAAACAATCCGACGCAAATTATGAAAATACACTTGGGGTACTAATAAAAAATGTTGGGGACCCTTATCCTAAAACTAACCTTCTAATGTTAATTAAAATTACCATAAAAATTTCCGGGATCGCCAACAGCTTAGCTCACATTTCAGAAGTGCCCATGTAATACCTGTACACGTAAGAAATTTTGTTGATCTCGGAAAATTCTACTATGCTATTAATTAACATTAGAAGGTTGGTTTTAAGATTAGGGTTAAGGTTACAAATTGTTCATAAAATTGCCTCCCCGACGTTTTTAATTAATCTTCGTGTGTCGGATTTGTTTTGCCGGTCTGATCAAAAATTTCTACATTCTTATTGGATACTGATCAAAAATTGCGCATTATTATTGGCTGCTGGTCTATGATCGACAAAACCACTATAATATTAAGATTTAAGATATTTTTCACATTTTTCATTGGTTGATCAAAAATTTGTGATCAATTTCATCCAATTAGCGATGGCTTTACCTGTGTCCAATCAGAACTTGGCGTTGGAAGAGAAATTACGTAGTACATGTAAAACGCAACAGTACCTACCGCTACGTTATCTATGGTGATACCTTTAAAGATAAGAATAGGTTTTTATTATTCATCTTTAGCGTTAGTTGTTAACCAATATAAATTCGACAGCATTATAAACCATAACTCTAAAAATCCTTTTATTTAATCGTAAATTTCCAAAAATGTAAACGCTGGTTCACACTTTAAAAAATTAAATTACTGGTTATCGAGTAATGTTTTTTCGATACAAACCTAGGATTTCTTGGCGTTTGGTGCAGGATTATGCTTTTTTGGATTGAAGTAATGCAGTGCACCGTCTTTGGAGTGTATACCAATACGTACATGTTTAGTGATTTTACATGTATTAATGTTAGTGGTTTACGTCTGATTACAGCTTGCATTGATAGGATATTTTCAGCATCAAAAATGCCAAGATTTTTCGACATGCAAAGAGTCGGTAATTACTTTGATATAGAAATACATATTAATTTGGTTTAATGAACGATGTTTTTTTTCTTTGAAAATACATTAACGTTAATATTTAATTGGCCAAATTTAGAATAGTAAGATTCTTGTCAAAAACGGGATAAAATATTGTCACAAATTACCATTACAGTATTTTCTATGAACATTTAGACAATAATCAACGATAAGCTGTCTGACACTTATTAGTGGATACAGCAGCAAGAGTTTCATTGATTGGATTCATGATATTCTAAAAATTTTTCTTATCAAGACACAAAAAAAATACTGAAATTCTGAAATCCTACCATAAAAAAAATATGAAAAGTTATAGACATACTGATTTGGCAACTAAAGTTGAGCCAGAACATAGCGATAACAACGGGAACGTTGACGTCATTATAATTGTTGGACAATATCCTAATATAGAAAGATTTAGTGCTTGTTCCAAGACGCTTCGCGAAAGATCGATTTATTTTAATACTGCATTGTCGAGTAGATGGGCAAAGAAAGAGAAGAGCGGTTATTTGTTAGAAAAACCAAATTTGTTGCCAGAAGTTTTTAGATTGATTTTAGAGTGAGTAAATCTGCATTAATATCTATAGCGAAAAAACGAAATTAATTTCTCGGGTTCTTTGATTCCAGATTTCTTGTTCATCGTAAAGTCATGCTAAGAAATTATAATGGAACAATGATAAATTTATTGCTGGCAGCGGAAGAATTGATGCTTGGCGATTTACGCAATGTGCTTCAGAGCACCACAACAACGCACAAGACCAGATGGATGTCGGAAAATTGTCCAGATTTACTGCGCGTAGTACTCGAATTCGAATCACTGAAAAAGCTTCGCCACACTGTTCTAGGTTGGATATGTGAAAATCCTTCTTGGCTTTACGATTCTGATAACTTCATGACATTGGAAGAGTCAATTATTTTGACAATGATCAAAAATGAAAAAGACTATTTGAATAATAGTTTTGTTTGGGACATTTTACTTAGATGGAGCATAGCACGTAATAACACGATTAGTTTAGACACTTCTACTTGGTCGGTCGTCGTGTTTGAAGTGTTAAAGAATAATTTAAAAGAATTTCTACCATATATCCGTTTTGACCTTATCTCTCGAAATGATTTTCACGATAAAATAATACCATTACGAAAAATTATTTCAAGAAAAATTACAGATCAGACTCTACGCTATTATTTAGAAGACAACCAACAATATCCTCCAAAAACAATTTTAGATGATTCATTAGTAATCAATCATATACACGCAGCCACGATTTCGAAATGGATTATGGGAAAAAACATTAACTCGACAAAGTCTTTAAAATACGAGTCACAATTCAAACACCGTTTCACTAAACGTCACGAATTCAAGTTAATTTATCGTGGCAGTCGAGACGGTTTCTCAGGCAACGCATACCACAGACATTGTGATAATAACGGAAAAAATCTGGTGGTGGCAAAGATTGCAAATTCAAATATAATTGTTGGCGGATATAATCCATTGGATACGAATGTTTTAGATAATATCTACGAGTACAGATATTCGACGAAAAGCTTCTTATTCACGTTCGGAACTACGGATGTTACGACTCCAAGTAGAATAAATAGCGCTGATAACCATTTCACCGCTATTCGGTCTACTTATAATGGTCCATGTTTTGGGACACGAGATCTTTACTTTAATTTGAATCATCGGTCAGGCGTTTACGATTCTGAAATATACACCGGGTCGATATTAGATAGACATAATTTTGAAATTTTCGAATTGGAAGTATTTAAGGTTTTGAAAATATAATCTCTGTAATGTTATTTATACATAGAGTGTTAGCTATTTAACAAAATTATTATCGTTATTGAGCAAAAAATAAAAGCTGACAGATATCAAATATTTAGTGAAATTTTTTAGATTATAAAGACGAACAAAATGCGTACAGTAATTACGTACGTATACATGTATTTATAGATTGACCATCACTTACTGTTACGTGATCTGTAAAATCAAATTCACGTGACAAGTTTTTAATGAAATTAATGTTAATGTTAACGTTAACGTTAACGTTAATATTCGGCTTCTTAACTGATTCAGTATGATCATTCACAAGAAGCCTATCATTATACCCATAAAAATCTTGGCACTATTTTTTGTTCCTTTTAGATAATGATAAATAAATAATAAAAGCCTTTTTATTTGGTAAGATTTTAAATTGACCAATATATGCGACGTTCAAGTTTTGTTGTATATAATGAATGTGACCTACAATGTGAATTCGAACAATTGAAAAGTTGTGCACTTGACTCAAAACAGGAATTAAAAAAACTTGTATGTAGGTTGTACACAAAGTAAAGTAACCAATAATATAATGATAACGATAGTAATAATATTAATTTCCATTATTGTAATACATGTAATTTGTTTTACATAACGATAAATAGCGATAGAAACAGACGCCCAGTTAGTGCAAGAAAAACAACGACTAAAAACTATTCAAGGGTAGATAAGTCTATCGCTATTCTTCAAGGCAACAATAAATTCTTTGTGATCCAAATATGTGTGTGTATATTCGTATGCACAGCATAAACTAGTTTCAGCGCCCAGTCCCATACTTAACACATGTACTTCCCTTTTCAATAAGTGGATTAATAATGGATAATAGCGATAGGCTGAAGTGTGCATAATGATAATAAAAAATTTTTTGCAAAATAGTTAGCACGAGGTTTATACTTTTGGTGTATCGAGTACGTACAGTGTTATTTGAAATAAGATGCTATTAAAAATAAGAAAGAGGTTTTATTGGCAACAAAATTATCAAAAGAACCAATTGATGATGTCGACGTAAATTGATTGTTTACCGCATTTTCATGAAAATGATGTAACTTCCGAAATATTTTGTTTGTTGCTCGAATTTATTATCTACGTACCGTGGGCGTATGGTTTTGTTTCTCCACGTGTAATTCTGGGTATGCAATGATTTTTCACCGACAACTTATATGCTGTTGTTTATTCATGCAGAATGCATATCAACCGCAATGATCCTGATTTTTCTTGTTTTGTGTATCTTGAACTCAATCAATTGCCGAAATGTGTGCTCATGTTTTGGTTGCACAGTATATTCTAATACTTCTGTATATCGTTGCTTTCGCTTATAAAATAACGTGGTTTCGAAAGAGATTGGTTTTTTCAAAGAGACTTGACAAGATAAAATTCGAAAAAAATAACTCATTCTCTACACAATTACAGATTCTTTTGACACTTTCTACACAATTACAGATTCTTTTGACACTCACCAACTACAAAAATAATCAATAATAATGAAGGCTAATCTATATTACGCTCTTGTTTTAGTTATCATATTGGCAATTGCCTCTTCATATGCTCAGGAGCCAGCAGCAACTAGTTCTGCATCACCCACAACTCCCGCAACTTCAGCTGCAGCTTCAGCCAGTTCAAAAGCAGCTAGCGCTGCCTCATCCGCCTCAGCTGCCGTATCTAGTGCTGCCTCAGCTGCTGCATCTGCCGTATCTGGTGCTGCCTCAGCTGCCGCATCTGCCGTATCTGGTGCTGCCTCAGCTGCCTCATCTGCCGCATCTGCCGTTGCCACTGACGTCAGTTCAGCTAAACCATCGGGTGCTTCCAGCAGCGCCAGCGCCAGCAGCACCGCCAAGCCCAGCAACAGCAGCAGCAGCAGTGCTTATGGACAAGCCAGCATCCGATCATCAGAAGTTTTATTCACCAGTATCGCTTTACTCATGGCTGTCTTTGCTTTCATCAGCTTGGAATAAATAATAATCAGATAATCATAACAATATAATAGTAATTCTGTATTTCTATGATTTAAACTTTAATATTAGACTACTCATAATAGCATAACTTTGTTTAAAATGGCATTTTCAAAAACTAATTTATTTGATCCAACACTTCTATATTAACAATGTACTTATTAGTCCTTTGTTTCTTTATTATTTAATTAATTTAATGAACATGACCTTCAATAAAATTAATTTGCCACTGACGATTAGAAATTTTCAATACTTCAATGTCAATAAAGAAGTATAGCATCAATTCATAGCGCACATATTCGTATTGTACTACGTACTACCATATCGATATTGCAGCATTTATCATCGTTGCATTTATTCCCACATGATATTTTGAGACATCATGGGTGGTTAAAAGCATGCTAGAAAACAAGTTTGAGAATACATGTATACGTGTATTACTAAATTTTTGGATACAAGCAAAGATTACGGAAATACACCTTTTCTGTGTGGAAAAAAATTGTTAACGTTTGTTTATAGAATTGATTCATATCGATATCGATATTCTATTCACAAACAATTTATTAATCCAAATATTTAAACAATATTTGTCCTTATCGTTACGTATCTTTATTGCTTTGTTGACAATTATACGTACGTACTTGGACAATTATATTATACAAAGGGTGTGCCCACTTTGTTTTTAAATTTCTAACAATGTGTGAAGAAAGCCTGATCGAATTGAAGCTTAGAAATAAAGTTTATATATAATACCATTATCAGGTTTTTGCGTGGGATTTTTATGGTATACAAATAACTGGGTTTAACTTGCCCATTTCGCGAGAAAAATAGAATGCATACGTTTAATCATCTGAGAAAATGTCGGCACCTGTTTTACAAGGTCCTACACAAGAACTTGATGAAAACTCGATATTGCATTGAAAACTTGATTTATTCGAGACCTGACCAAAATGTTTAATCTAAATTCATAACGATAAATAATGTATCTCTTACTGGATTGGAAGTGCACACGCAGCTATAGTGCACCGCTTAGTATTTCGGAAATAAACGACCCAACTGAGCTTAAACAATCCTATAAATCCAATTGTTTATACGACACACTAAACTCTTTTCTATTTTGTAACAATACCGATACGTAGTTTATTTCTGTATTAACAATAAATTATACATTTTAAATTTTGGAAACATATCTTTGAGAAATGGTCTAATATATTGCTCAAAGCGCAAATGTTTCTTTATGTATTTTGAAAAGACCAAATTGATCACTTTGTTTGATTCCTATCTGCTGGACTTCTTTAAGCATAACAGCTGGTCCACAAACAGCAATAGCAATATCACCTGATCCATGGTAATTTTTTATTTCACTGAGTAGAGTGTCGAAAGATGGTCTGCCTTGAATTAGTAGAGTTGTGTCAGCTGGAAGACTCTCTTTTGGTCGCGTGACGAATATCTTGATATTGAGTCGATATTTTTCTGTAGGTAATGCGGAAAATTTGTTTTGAACTTCTTGTATTTCGGATTCAAACCATGAATATGAAGCTATATATACATCACTTAGTTAATTAGCATTTACTGTATTTCCAAAAACCAAATACATGTACATGTAAATTTTACCAAGATTAGGAACTGTCCATATAAGGAAAATTGATTGTGTAGTTATTGGATTACCCGTAACCTGTCGATCCACTAGATCTTGCAAAAGGCTCATAATAGGTGTAACACCAATCCCTCCACCTATTAATACAACAGTCTTAAAAGCTTGGAAATTCAAACTTGGTCGTCCGTAAGGACCTTCCACTCTCATCGTAATTGGCGTTGATGATTCCCCATTGTTGGAAGACCGGACCAGTTTAAACAAACTCTCGGTAAAATCGCCTGAAGATTTCAAATGTATCGTTGCGTGATGTTGTTTGCTGTCTTCGGTTAATGAAGGAGCAGATGACAATGAGACAGGATGCCATTGTAATTTACTCAATTGTGGAAAATGTACAAATATATATTGTCCTGGTTTATATTTCATTTGTCGTGTGAATGCTATACGAGTGACGCCTCCTTCGAGAGCTTTTATACTAGTGATATTGGTTTCTTTGTAACCAATAACGAACCGAATAATCCTGTCTATTACATACAATAAGAATCCAAGACTCAACCAATACACATGATTTCTATCATGCAAGAATGAAACCAGGAGAAACATAATAAAAAAGAAATGTCCATAATAAAACACTTCAAAAGCACGTCGTCGAACTAATGAGTGCGAAGTCACGCCAATAACGAAAAGCCCGAAAAAAGAAAGAAATCCCGTTAAATTAACTCTATAAGTAAAAATCAGATCACCGATATCATGAGTCACCGTTTGCCAGCGATATGTAATATGACTTCCACCATGGAACATTATCATAAAAATCACTATTCTTCCAACCCATCGATGAAAAGTGATTATACGCTCGAACGGAATTCCTAACAGATGAACGAAAACTGAATTACGAGTTGCTAACGGAAATACAAACGCAGCGTTCGTTAAACCGACCCAGCCGAATCGATTATTTCGTAGTACAATGTCGTGTGTCAGTTGATCTTCAAATGGTATGAATAGAAAAACGGTATTGAGTCCCAAATAAATCGCGAGTAAAACAGCTTCTTTGGCTGACATATCACCAACTCCGATAATGTGGAGCATATAATTCCAGAATTTATGATTCCAGACGGTAATTTTCCAATGTATTGGTAAGTTGTTTCTAATTGATAGGTTTTCTGATTCTTTTAATGATGATTTTGTTCGTGAATTATACAATTGGTGAAGTAAAGAAAATTGATATGGGATAGCAAACAGTATGATAATAATTATTGCTGCTACAGTTGAATAATAACCGGAAGCGAAATTTGGTAGAAACGACGACATGTTTAACAGTGAAATCCAAAATCTCATTGCAAATCGCTATTGCTATTTAAACAAAATCAATCCAGAATGATCGTGATGCACAAAAATTCAATAACTGATAATTATTGAAAACATTCAAAATTTCCTTAAAAGGCACACGACTTTCTACTGGACCATTGTGTTTCATATAGACAAATCGGTTCCCTTATCTAAAATAACGATAAAATAAAGAACTTTCTATCATTTGTTTGTCAATAAGCAAATTATTTTTCCAATTCTTTCTATGAGATTCTTTTAGCTTTCAATCTTATACAAATCAAATAAATACCGCTTCATTCTTATTGACTTTGTTTCAAGTGAAAACATCAAATAATTTTATCATCCAAAAAATAAATGAATTTAATCTGGACGCATCCACCCGCTTTCTTGTCTCGCTTCATCCTTACATTTTTCGCGTTATTATTACCCCAGTTAACAACAGCAATCAATGTAACGACGAGTGATATTTACAAAAATTGTGCGTACTATCTTCCGCCAGACAGGAGATCGCTTGGATTTTTCGGAGACCATGCGTTATTTGTGATTTGGTTTTTTATTGCGTTAGGGCTTTATATTCTGGGTGTGGTAATCGAATTCATGTTAAATCGTCGTGATGCTAGAGTTCGGAATATGTCAAAAAGCGCTAACTAGGTAATAATGACGATATACGATTAGATGGTTATGTATTTTATTTAAAGTATTTAAATTGTATCATGTCATGTTAACTATCTTTATAGAAAATATTAGAGCTTTGACGTAAAGCAATAAATCTCCCCTTAATTCGAAATTGAAAAAATCAAAGTATTTATTTTTTGTGCTTTAACGTTAATCACACACCTATTAAATTCTTTTCCAAATAAAAATCTACCCTAATATTATTTGGCAGACAATATTAAGATACGTATTAGCATTCATTTAGTAGAGTTTTTATTTGGTGTTATGCAAATATGTAATTAATGCGTGTTTAGTGGATATTTCCACGTTTTATTATTATAATCCGTAAATATATTATAATTGCATTGAATAAAAATGTCACTTTTTCCAAATAATTAGATAGTGATAAGGGTGAATTTCGGGGATTTTTTCGCAAATTTGTTCACATTGCATCGTTTAAATAATATATAATACTCTTCAAGTTACTTGGATGATGATACCTTGAATATGCCCCATGTTTGAAATGCTAGATGTAAACATACTTAAAGGAGAACAATTAGTATTTGACATTGCACCTTTTCCACTTTCGAGCGGAATAGTACAAGATTCATTATGCGGCTCGTGTCTCAAACTCAAGTATAATATTTGGACTTACTTTCTGGATTCTTTATTTGACATTTTTTTGTCGTTTCACCTTCCGTAATCCAATTCATATTCATCTCAGTGGATTTCATCCAACATCCCAGTTAAGTAATCTGACTAGTTCTTTGTGCATAGCCAGCAACAAGAAACTGTTGATGAATACAATCAAATGTGGAATCTAGCTTCCGAGTCTATAGCTATATAAAATAGTTGCCCCGACATATAGAATGTAGATAATCTCAATGATTGATAAGGAATTCCTATAAAGATAAAGCTTTTTTCACCAAAAAAAATACAAGTCAAATGGATCTTTTAAATTTTCTTTACAAAATACTTAACATCATGATATTAAACGAAGGTTGTTTCACTTACCTCAAGTACAAACTCTCATTAAAAAAATTGCTTTTTTTGCTAATCGAATAAATTGAAAGACGCTATTTTTACCCGTGTGTAGAATAATTATTAAAATAAAAAATAGTCTCGTCATTTGGATTTATAATTTCGTATTTTTGTCGAATCATTATACGTACGGAGTTGCATGCGATACAAGTAAATGCTATCGCTAGTATACGTACGTACTCCGAATATGAATACGTATCGGTATGCTATTTTACTTGAGATTTTTGTATGCATGATGCGGTGGATAATGCATCAATATGTCTACGAGTCTCTCGGAGAAACATTCATAGAAGAACGGCGCAGTTCCCTAACAGTATTGTTAGGTGAGAAATGATAAAACTTTCTCTCTTCTTGACACACCAAATTTTCTTAGTCAGTACGTAGTATGCGAATTATAGTCATTGATAACTTACGTAATTAGGAAGTACGTAAATGTATATAAAATTTATTCCGATAATATGATAAATTACGATTAGGCCTTTCTTCGGATTAAATTTTAGATAACAACCACTCATATCGTGATACATATTGGGCGTCAACCAAAACAAGATTCGCATTGTACTTTTGTTACACAATTAGGTTCACGTTCAGATTTATCGTTTTCGTTTCGATAAATCATAAAAAAGTATTTAATAGCTATAATATTTCGTGATTGTTGTATTATATAATTTCCGAAAAATCAAAAATGCCCACAACAACAGTATATAGTGTAGTCTTAATAATGTGCTGCTCTTTTTTTCTTTCGATACTTCTTACACCATCGGCACCTTATCGATCTGAGACCCGAACCCATCCAAAAGATTTTCTAATAGCGAATGAAAATATACCAAATAACAACACAACGTCCTCTGTTACTACAATTCGTTGAACGATAAAATAAACAAATATGAACAATTATTTATCTCGGATCTCTGTCATTACTTTTATACTTTATATAAAAATATCTTTTGTTGTATTTTTTGTTCTAATTAATTGTAACAATATAAATTGCAAGTGAAATATGAATTTCCCTTAGGTTTCTTCTCTAAAACGAACCTGGAAAAGTTTTGACTTTTAGTCAAAAAATTTCCCAATTTAGCCAATTTCATAATTTTTTTGATCAATGTATATCCTGTTAATTTCTTTATTATTTTCAGAAATAATTCTTTTTTTCAAATTTAAAAAATTAATATGAAATTGTAAAATCAGAATTGATCTCAAAAACATAACACATAAGATGAAATTTAAAAATCAAAAATATTCTGTGTTTAAAAAAGTGACATTGACAAAAAATTGTATATTTCAACATACATGTACGTAGATATTTAATTAAAAGATTATCAATTATTTTTCCTTTTTTTTAAAACCAATTTACATATCGATATCGATATGATTCTTCAATCGTTATTAATCTATTCAATTCATTAATATTTTTTGGGCATTATTTTTTATATGATTTATCCTATATTTTCAATGGAATTCAGATCTGGATTGTTGAAAAACTGCCAACAATTTCTTCTGTAAACATGCTAGATGTAATTAACAGCATTTGTTAAAATAATCTTAAATAATAAACCGCTGTTTTTTCGAAACATGTACGTAGTCATTTAGAATTTTGCATTCGTAGTAAAGCTCGTATGTCCACGAAGTGCATTAATGGTTGGCGAATCAGAAATGGATAGTAAAAAAATTTCTATTGGTAGGAAAAGATTCCAAGAAGTGATAATGGATGGAGAGTTATCGTAAAGCTATAGAAAAATAAGGATTTCTTTAATAATAAAAAATAGCATTTCTCTTTAACAATTGATTAATATAAATGCAAAAAATCTTATTTAGAGGAGATAAAGATCCCAGATTACAATAAACTACAAAAAATAATTATAAAATTCGGGAATAATAAGATCCTTTGATTACGCTTCAGCTCGAGCATCCTTTTTAATATTATCAGACCGAACTTCACTTCTACTCTCATCAGACCGAACTTCTTCATTTTCATTATCATCAGGTTTAATAAACTCTGTACCAGCATATCGACTAGTATCAACTTCGACAGGACGCGAAGGGAATACAAATTCCGTTTTGGTATACTTTGCCCACACATACAATGCTCCCATTCTCGCCGCAAACGACACAAATGTCAAAACTATTCCACCGATGGGAGCGACAAGAAACGCGCCAAGAACCGAGTAATCTTCAGCATAAAAAGAATTGGGAAGTTGAATGAGGTTTATGCCGTCGTACGCGTTTCCGAAATAAATTGTGCCAAAAATGAATATAGATAAGAGGCCACCGATACTGCCTTGCAACGCGTCAAATCCGTTGATAAAGTAGAGGTCGTCGACAAGGCCTAATAGTACTGGTGGCATTGCTGCCGCGGCTATAAGATCGCCGATTAGAAATATTCGTAAAACATCTACATTGCGAAGTGCGAGGACAACTATTTAGCATAAAAAATATCGAATTAGTTCTTTTCATGACCTTGAATTAAAATAAATCAATTGATTTTCTTATGATGCATTACCAATTGGAACATTTAACACGACAGTCAAAATTCGAATATAAACCAATGGCAATCTGTTAGCAAACAAATCATTCGACATTGTAGACACCATTGCACTTTGCAAAGTGTCATATGCTGAACAACTCAATGCCACAGAAAGCACAATCACAATTCCGACAACCCAATCAGGAAGTATCGCAATCAGGTAAAAGAATGCACTTGCGCCTGGCAAATCATCACTACAACAAAGATTTGCCCAAACCGCGATAATACCAGTGAATCCAACCAAAAAGAGAATAATAAATAGCATAATGCCACCGTAAATAGTTGAGACTCTAAGTTCGCGATCATTTTTGGAACTGAATACCCGTTGCCAGTATCCCTTTAATAATCAATCCTGCATTTAGTCTGACAGTGCAAAAGAAATAATCATACAATTATCTAAATCATCACCTGATGAAAAAAATTAGCAAATGCAATAGCAACCGCTAATATATAAAGTAATTCCCAGCTGAGTTTGTTAGATCTTAAAAGTCCCGAACGTTCTATAGCCGAGCGATCGATTTTTATGTTCGTACTAAATCCGATTGTTCCGATAAGCATTAGTATCATTATACAAACACCTTGCACATTATCGGTGAGTAATGATGCGCGGAATCCTCCATATGCTTTAATAAATATGCGATTAACATCTTGAGAGTATGATAAACTGTTAATTAGCAAAATAACTTACCGGTATAAAGAGTAGTGGTAGCTGCTAATATGATAATTGGTGCCAACTTATCGACTGTAGTTAACGCCATTAAAACAAGTCCAATCGAAGACAACTCACTAATCATGTAGCAAAACATATATGTCATTGACATTAAAGACATAAAAATTTGATTCCCTTGACCGAAACGCTCGCGAATAAACTGGGTCAAGGTAAACCCTTGTGGACATTTTTTACGCATTATTGGGCCAACCCATGCAAATAACAGCAAAGGAGTTACACTGGTCAAGGCATAAAATGTCACTCCGAGAATACCAACGGATGTTCCTATTTCCGGGTAAGTGAACAAAATCGAAGAACCAAGATCTAAAGAAATTATCAATGGAAAAGATCAGGATAATGAAATGACATCCTGTGTTTGATCTCATTAATGGCAACTTCCCTACGCAGGTATTACCCTGATCAGGTGGTTAACGGTGCTTTCTCAGCCCGAACCAAATTAATATCACAACACCACCACCATAGTAATGATGTTGCTTAATCAAATGGACGGGCACCCGCAGTGCCGAATATTTTAAAAAAATTAATTTTGTGTGTGAAAAGGAGAATTATAAAAGAGGATTTTTTATGGGATCAAACAGTGTTGGAAGGCAATTAATATCAAATTGAACTTTCCAATGGGCTTCCAGTTGTCATAAAAGCCCAATGGAAGCAAAAATTGACAACTCTGGGATTAAATATGAAAAGTTTGAAAGAGATGTAGTTCATTAAATAATCAAATAATATTTTTCAACACAAATCCCTTTTCACAAACGCAATTTTTCGGAAGGCACAATAAAAGCAACGCCCTTACCTGCACCACCGATACATACCTAAATTTCTTTAAGACTCTTACTACTCACTTGATGCAAACCAATTCACAGCAAGAGGCAAAGCTAATTGAGTACCCAAAGCTGACAAAAAATCATCTTTACTCTTCATCTGTGTTTTTCCGGCGTAAATTCCAACCAGCATAAATGCGAATAAAGTGACGTAAATTAGTACGTCTGCTAAAGTGTTTGAAATTGCCATATTATTTTCTTTAGATAGTAAATAAAATAGATTCAATGCGTAAAAATATTATCGTTATTAATCAGTTTAGTCATCTGGAAGAACTATAGTCGTCTATTTATATTGCGTAAAAAATATTATCGTTATTAATCAGTTTAGTCATCCGGAAGAACTATAGTCGTCTATTTATATTACGTAGTAAGTTGAGGGAATTGATCTAACTCTAAATGACTCGTTTTTTCTTTTTTTTAATGTTTCACTACTTAATCTTTTTTTTAAAAGAAAATACATGCTACCATTACATAACACATGTAATTTAATAAACTTGATTTGCAAGTACGTTCGTACATGTATATCGATATGTACATTTGGTAATCAGATATTAAATCAATCTACGTATCAAAGATTAAGAAGACATGTGCGAGTTATTTTAACTTAATTTCCTCGATTTTATACATGAATTAAATGAACGATTTGTGTTGTACTTGCAAAATTTATGAGCTCATTTGGAAATTTCTCCTCAGAAGCTAATGAAAATACGTGAAAACATTTTGATTATTATCAAGAGCTTCTGTTAATTTGAGAATTTAGACCTATCGTTATCATCGAAAGAATCATCTAAATTCATGAGAATGAAAGTAAATACGTATTGAATAATAACAATTATCCCCGGAAATCCATTGCAAACTGTCCAGTCAGGAAATAATCCGATTGTCTTTAAAAAAACCAAACCGACTCAAAAATCAGGAAATTATCCTAAAAAATCGGATAATTTGCAGACTGTATTTTACAGGATTAATAAAGCCATCTTTTTATTAAAACAAGTTTAATTTAAGTACATTTGGTGAGCAAATTTTTGATTTTTACTCCAATACATGAATCTAAATCTTCGTGAGCTTCCGCCATAATTTTGACAAGATGCACTTCAATCAGCTGTTTGACTATAGAAAAGATGCTTTAATTGAAACAATCATGTGCGAAATTTTCATTAATAACAGAACCAATACATGATCGAGTTAATTTATAAGCAATATTAAAAACAAAAAGTTTGTCCAGAAGAAATTACGTCGCATGTAATTTACAATATTACTATACATGAATATAACGATTCTACTTGAGATTAAGTCAACCTGAATGAGAATGGCAACCGAACTTATTTAATTAAGTTTTCGAAATTGTTAATATCGATATGTACAGTAGGTTACCAAAAATAACCGACCACCCCAAAAATTTATTATGAAATATTTTTATTTTATACGAGAACAAAGATAATAATCTATAATTTAACATATATATAATTTTTAAAAATTATATGTTAAATTATAGATTATTATCTTTGTTCTCGTATAAAATAAAAATATTTCATAATAAATTTTTGGGGTGATCAGTCATTTTGGTAACCATTGTGCATGTACATTACATTTCTTGGAACTGTATATCGATATCGATATCGATATACGTATATCTCGTATCACACATACGTATTAAAAATCTATATTACGTAATCTCAAATTTCACCGAATTACGCATTCCGCATGAGGTGACGGTAAAGGTACATGTACTTGTGCATCGTTTTATTCATGTAGAATACATTTACGTACTTGGCAAAAAAAGAAAAACTACTATACATGTATAACGTTATTCAACTTATATTTTTAATTGCCTATTTTTTAGGAATTCATTAATCTTCGGGATTTATAACGCAGACAAAAACAACAAGGATCCACTCAGGAGCAAAAACAAATACATAAATGAGCCATTTTTTTGCGTTCACATCGGCGGTAATAGGTTCAAACAGAGAAATTATACGATAAACCATTCCACAAATTAACAATAAACAACCGAGGAACAACACCATTCTATTATTCTTTTGCGTTCCAGGATTACTAGTATTAGAATCTCTTTGCGCAGTTAAAGATTTAAACAACAGAACTATTAATAATCCTAAAAATCCTAAAGTTGAAATTTTTTTCAATATTCTTCCCACGTTAGCATCATTTATGATTTGCATAACTGCTCCAATGATTCCAATAATTCCAATAATTGAACATAGTATAATGAAAAGCTTAAAGGAGGATTTTTTTTTATCAGCAATTTGATTAACCCATACTCCGTAAAGAGATTGAACTACCAGGAAATAACCACTTGCTGTAATTACTCCCGCGATGATTGCTTTTGTCTGAGAATTTTGGTCTTGTGACCAAAATGCACGAGCAATAAATGCGGCAACTCGAAGTAAAGAGAAACATAAGAATAAACGACGGTAAGGGGAACTAGAATTCTGTGAGAGTCTCCATCCCAAGAGAATGCTACTAATTCCAAATAGAATTACAAATACTATCGAAGGCACAAGTGTGGGTGAAGTGGCGGAAAGAAGACCTGGAACAGCCATAATTTTTTATTTCGTTAGCTTAATATGTGTGAGATATTTAACAATAGCCTAGATTTTGATAAATTTTTTTTTGAAGCTGATATTTATAAAAGCGTTTGATAAAAATTTTTTTGGAGCTGTTATTTACAAAAGCATTTGTTTCATTCAAGATTTGAATCACCAGACGCGTTAAATACCATGTTTTATAAAGAACTTCCGCCAAGACGGAGAGATTGTTTGTGGCGTTTTGGTAACATTTTTTTTTTTTTTAGAAAAAACATTAATATTTGTTCTTTTGTACAATACTTTGGAATTCGATTGCCTATAAAAAAAATCTCGGTCTTTTTAATTAAATACAGAATTTTTCCGTTGATTCTATATCACATTTGCAGAATACAGTATTTCTGGATAATTTCCTGATTAAACCGGTCAAGTTCTAAATAGAATTAATCTGATTTATTCAATTCCGATTATATTCTATCCGATCATTCTTACCGTTATTACATTATCGTCTTTACTTTTTCATTATCAACACTATACTAACTTGCATACAGTATTTACCTTTTTAAAAACAAAACAGTTCTATATAAGCATACAAATTTTTTGATTTTCTGACTTATTTCTGATTATAGTATCAGAAATATTTCCAGAAAACAAAAAACTTTGATATTACTCAATCGGCATGTTCGCTCCGGCCGGCAGACTCATCATTTTAAATTTTTATTTTTCGTTATCGAAGAGAAAAAAGTAACATATTACATACTTTGCTTATTATCTGAGTTCGGTTTTTATTGTCCGATTTCCTCGATTTTACAAAATTAATCGATTTTCTTGAATAATTAATCGATTTTCTTAAATAGAGAGATAATAAAAATCAAACTCAGATAAAGCAAAGTATGTACGTAATATGTAATAGAGTATTTACGTTAAACTTCCGTTAGAGAAGTGAAATAATCGTAATATTACTAGGTTCTGAAAGAGCTGAAGCAATTTGAGCCAGCTCGTATAAGTACATGTATATACATGTATTTCATGGCTCTTATCTAAGACGAGCCGAATTATTACGAGCCTTAGTCAGAGATGTGACTTGGCACTAGTGATACCTGACGAAATTGATTTAATTTAGTAGACGAAATTAAATTTGACCTATAATAATTAATGACGAAATTAATTTTTTGCTGGAATATTATTCTAAAGAACATGTTCTTTAAGATTATTGTCAAAATATTTAAATTATTATAAAATTTTTGGCAAAATTGCAAAATGACGAAACCATTAGCCATTCAAAAATAATTTAGTCAGGTATCTTTACTTGGCACATAATAAATTAACCTTACAGCAATCTTATTTTATTTATAAAAATCCACGACTTTATTAGATGATGAACTTGATACTATTAGTGAAACTGAATAACAAATGAAAGATGTAATAATGGTTTTTTATCATTGATATTTTAACTCAAGAAAAAACTCAAAGCTCATGCGAGCCAAGCCAATACAAGACCGAGTTCGAAATATGACTCGGCTCTTCAAGAAGCGAATCAAATTAGAGCCAATTTCAAACTTGGCTTGGCTCGGTTCTTTCGGAGCCCTAGAGATTACTTTTATCCGATGTGGGTCGCAAAAATAGCGATAGTTCTTTCAGTGCCAGTGATGATTACATTTCGATGGCGATTTTTACCTATCGCTATTGTAAGAAAGATATGATTCATTTTCTAACACACTCATAACGCATCCTAAATTGATCGTGTAAAATATTATCGTTATTCAAGAACGTTCTTCGTAGATGAACTTCAAAGGTTTAAATAGACTTCGAACGATTAGCGTTCGTTAAAGGAGATTAATCAAATACAATAAAAAAGCTAGTTTTTTTTATTGTTGACATATATATTTAAATATTTCGCAATAAGATATATTTTATTGTCTAAATAAATGAATGAATAAAAATGCTATACTGAATTCTTTTATGTGTTCGCATTTACAATACATCACTTTCAAATTTCCAACCAGGACGCACATAAAAAGTGTACGAATCGCCCAATTTCACATATTCCATAACAAAATCCTTAATATATGCATTATCCGGATCATTCACCAATTGGTTAAGAGCCCCCACAATAAATCGACAATTCCTCAAATTAATTTCAACTAAATCTTCCGGTTCATCCCCCAAACTGAAATGTTCACTACCCGGCCAAAATTCTCTTCCTTCAAACGAGCTTATTTTGATCGAGGCGAAACGTTGATAATAATGAAGTAGGCAACTATTTTCGTATTTAAGGTAAGTTATATCGTAGAAAGTAATATCGATAAAGTCGTCATTGTTTTGATAATAGACAGAGAACTGAGAATCTAGGATGCTGTTTTCGTCAATAGATTTTATTAACTTTAATTGGCCATCGGCATGGATAATCGAAACCTTAAAATTATTATTGACTTTAGTAAAAGCTTTAACGTTGGTTGTGTGAATTTCGTATTTTGATGGTACTCCAATCAAAGAAACGAATAAGAAATTGAAAAATAATGCAAAGATATAAATATTCAAATAACTCATTGTTGCGAGTTGAGTACGTACCGGTACGTATGCGTTTATTATAAACTGGTTTTGCTTGTCCCACATCAGTGCGCCAATTGATCTTCTACCGATGCAATTACGAACGTAGTAAGTATTGTTACATAGGATTTATTAAAATCGTAGGAGTTTGTGCTTGGAATGTTCTTTATCGTTATCGTATAATGTGATTGCTAATAAATAATATAACTACTACATAGATCTATGCAAAACTATTATGAACTCGAATAAATTGATTAAACTTGATTCACATTTTGCGAGCTTAGAATTCGATGATGTCTCCCTCACTTTGGTACGTACTGCATTTGAAAATTGCCAATTTCCGAAGAATAATTTCTGTACATCAAATCAGGCAAGTTCTTCGTCATATGTTGCCCAATCTCTTGATAGAACATATTTAAAATCCTTCTGGCGGTTTCGCTAAACGGAATGACCATTTCACAGATTTTTCATAAAGCTAAAAATTCTTAATTGACCTTTCTTTTCCGAAGCATTTGAGAAAATACCAAAGCATTTATTATCTTTTATTATTCGCATAAATGACGACGGGTTCCGAACAAGGCACATTGACCACATTAAAACAAGGCGACAAAGAATTTTCCAGCGAGAGGTGAATTATCTGTTCGGTATAATTATAAAATGTACCAAAACAAGTGACCATCTTGATTATAGCAATGTCATTTATCGTTTCGTGCTACATGTAATTATAAAATGGAAAGATTGTGCAATTTTTTTTTAGCTTGAACCCACTAATACCAATATTCAATTTAACTCTGCTTAGGGCATTATTTTGTGTATAACTAAATAAATAATTCTTACGAGATTTTAAATTTTTTTATATCTAAAGATAAATTTGACTGAGAAGTAATGTACTCAGGCATTTTTGAAAAACCAATTGTGATGCTATACATAGTCGTGACTTACAGACTAATAAATTTTGAATAATCATGACTTTTACAGTTTAAAGTACCTCCCCCCATTTTTCTCAGGATTTTTCTATTGCACTGGCTATTTTAAAAAGTATTGTACCACCAACTAGATACCTCCTAATCATGTAAAGTACCCTCCCCCTATCTTGTCAAAATAAAGGGAAGGGCACTTTAAATCGTAAAATACGGTAGTCTTTTTAAACGCTCCATTATTAGATCAATCATAGTTGGTCTTTTATGAACCTCTAGATTTTATTTTTCTAGAAAAACCACTAGTGCCGTTCATGAAAAATGTGTTGTTCCGCACGGTTCTGAAGTACCAAGCTGAAACAGTTCTCCAGCACAAGGAAACGACAATAAACCATTGTCATTCCTCTACTTCTGGAGAAAAAATCAAAAGATCGCTTGTCAATCAGATTTAACACCAATAATTGTTATCGTTATCGTTGTGTTTGATCCCATTATACACATCCTTATACAGACCTGATCATTGGCACCGCAAAAAAGACATTGCTCACCTGATGATATATATCTTTATAATGTCTCTACCATCACCACTAAAGCTCTGTTCGGGTCAGGTCGGGTTTGATCCAAAAATTGTAAAATTGCTTTTCGTTAATAACGTTTATTTTTACTAAGACACTTGTATTTTGTGTCCTATGTAAAGTTGTTCGGAATGTAATTGTGTACACACCCTTACAATATATTACTGGAAATTTCAAAAATGAATTTGTCACTTTGGAACCCGATATCTCGACATCCGGTGATCCCTTTTGAACAAAGATATCACCATTAGATTTGTCTCAACTATCCGAATCTAATGGTGATATCTTTGTTCGAGATATCGGACTCCAAAGTGACAAATTCATTTTTGAATTTCCGGTAATATATTGTAGGGGTGTGTATATATCCACAAATTTTCGTTTGATTTCAATTAATATTGAACGAGAAATAATGATTTTTAAGCTGACTCAAATATTTCGGGTCCCGAAATGTGCGTTCAACACTGTTTTCATTTGACAGCTTTAAGGCAGATGAATGAGATCCCACTGGTAGCTCAGGCAACAACAATAACAAGTCCAAGAACAGAAAGTCGCACTGCTGCAAGAAAAAATGAGTAGGCATGATCGATAAATAGGATACAAGAGTATATAATAATTGCAAATTATTGATGAACAAGATATTGTACAAATTAATTCTTCTTTTGAAACATGAAATTAGAACGGTGCTTCATGAAAAATTTACTCTCTGAGATCTTGTATCACATTATTACTAAGACACATTTTCTGTTATATTTTGCTACTTCACTCATGAACTAATAGTCAGTATGGTAATTTTTTAATAATAAAAAAAGTTATAACAACTTAAAGAATTTACTTATTAAATTTGATCTTTTTTATAAAAAAATAAATTATTCTTTCTGTTGAATTTTAGATTGTTTAATATCTATTTTTTCAAAAATATTAGAACCAAATATAAGAAAAAAGAGATATTTTAATAAAGATTATAATTAGGAAATCTTTTTATAAATAATATTAATATTAATAATATGTTTGTTATGAATAAAAAGTATACTCAATTTTGTCTAAGACTAGCAAAAAATACAATAATGTAATTAATAATAAAGAGAAAAAATAATAATTTTGTATATTACATTCAAAATATTAATTTTTAAAAAAAGAAAGTATATTGTAATAAAATTAATATATCTTAATATTTTAATATTGATCTTTTTAATCTGCTTTAAGCAATAAATAAATATATATAAAATATATTTTTCTATATATTTGTTTAATACTTAGAAATATTAATATTAAAATAATTAGCTTTAAGTAAACTAATTTAATTAATAATAAATTAATTAAATTAGTTTGCTTAAAGCCAATTATTTCAATATTGGCTAGAATTCCAAAAAAAGTCTGGTTCAATTTGAGCTTAAACCAGACTTAAATCTAATTAAAAGTTCAATTTAAAAATTCAAATCCAATTAAAAATCTGGTACAACTTTGATTTTAACTTTGAACTTAATCAAAAGTTCAGTTTGAATTCAAATAAATATTTGATAATAAATTTATAATTCATATCTAGAGTTATAATTAATACAAGCTAATTAATATTTAAAATAAATATTTAAAAAGTTATATAGATTTAAAATTATTTATAATTATTTATAATTTTAATTTATTTTATTTATATTATAGTAAATATTTATTTTTCAATAATAATTATAAATTATATTTTTAAACAAAGTTGTAACTAAAGATATAAGCTACAAATTAATATATAATAAATATTATTAATAATAAATATTCAAAAAGTTATATAAAATTTATAATAAAATTTAATAAATATAAAAATAAAATTATTTAAGTTATTATTAAATAAATATTTATAATTCTTATTAAATATTATAAATTATATATATGTTGTATCACAAATCGCAATTGTTCCAAATCACAATCAGTTCAAATTAGAATAGAAATATGACCAGAGTTAGAGTAAGAGTTAGGGTTAGTGTTAGTGCTAAAGAATAGACTATATTTGATTTAGATTTTGATTTGAAATATATTTCAATTGTCAATTGGGGCAAATTGTAATTTGAAGCACAATATATATAATAATTTTAATAAAATAATAATTTAAAAAAATTGGCAAATTATTCAAATTTTTAAAAAAATTGTTTTTTCTTAAAAAGTTTCAAATATTTTTTGAGTTTTTTTAAATATTTTAAAAATAATAATCTGTTTTATTTCTAAATTTTAATTTTTTATTTTTTTATTTAAATTTTTAAATATATTGATTAATTAAATAAATTTTTATTTAATATTAAAATTTTTATTTTTTTCTAAAAGAATTTTAGCAAATTTACTAAAAAAAATTTATTTATATATATTTTCTGAAATTTTTTTATTTTTTTGATAAAGTTATTCTAATTGCATTTTTATAAGTGCATATTTTTCTTAAATATATTTTTTTAGTTCTAAGCTAAAATTATAATATTAAATATACATACTTTATATTTTACATGTGCAATAAATTTTCTAATTTTATTATATTTAAGTTTTCTTTATAAATATATAATATATAACAAAAATTATATGAATTCAATAAAAATTCAATTAGTAAATAGCTTGAAAATATTTTTTAAAATTAATTAATTATAATAATCTTGATATAAATTAATAATAATATGAGATTTTACTATTAATACAAATTAATAATGTGAGTATTTATGAATTAAAATTTTAATAATATAATTCTAAATTCTTTAAGTATATATATTTTTTAAATATATATTTATAACAAGTTTAAAAAAATATATATTTAAAAAAATTTCACTATATATTAAACTATAAAATTAATTATAAAAATTTTTGCAATAATTTGTAATGAACACAACTTTATCAAAAAAAATCTAAAAAATCCAGAAAAAATATATATTAAAATATAATTTATAATTTTGTTTTGATAATAATAAAAAATATTTTAATAAAATTAAAATTTTTATAGAAAATAAAATTTTTATTTTTATTATGTTTTATTAATAAAATTACATATATAATTTCATAATTTTATTAGTTACTATATTTTGAAACTATAAAATTTAAGTATAAAATAATTAAATTATTTTATTTAAATTATTATAATTACTTTTATTAAATTAATTATATTTTTTTAATTTGATATAAATTAATTATAAATTTAATTAAATATATATAAATATGATTTATTATAATTCCAAAAAAAATTTGATTCAATTTGAGTTTGATTTAGTGTTACAGCGATTCTGAATAGTGGGTTTCACTGAGAATCACTATAAGTATATGATGTTGGGAGAGAAATGATTAAACTTAAGTAAAGAGATTGAATTATAAATATTAGCAAAGGTTTCTAAGGCCAGTGCCAATATCTACAGATATTGTGTGTTCAAAGATTTAAATTACAAAAGTAATTTGAAAAAGGGATAAAAATATAAAGAAAAGAATAAAATAAATCAAAAGATTTATAATGATTAATAAGTGAAGCCACTATTAATCAAA